CACCGCCCCTGCCCGGCCTCCTGCCGCCCTGGACGGGCTGCAGGGCCCGGACCGTCCCGGCGTCCTCTGCGGAGCCCGACGCCCCCGGGAAGGCGCGAGCCGGCGCTGAAACGCGCCCCGTGTTCCTCGCGCCGAGCCTGCGCCCTGCATGGAGCCAGGTCGGCTGCCTGGCCCCGCTCCTCCCTGGCGCAGAGCCCCGCTTAGCGCTTGTGAGGGGACACAGGGTAGTGTCTGGCTCCCAACTGGGGACCTGAGGTAGGCGGTGAGCCTGCTGCGGGGAGGACACAAGTGTTCCTCGGGACAAGCACTGCTGTCTCCAGAGCTGGCGGGTCAGGGCTGGGCTGGGAGTGCCACGGGGCCAGGCCTCACTCACATAGCTGTCCCTCAGCGCCTTGACTGCTGCCACTGCTCTGGGGTCCAGGGAGCGGTAGTGTGACAGCAGGCAGCGCCTGGGCGCCACCGGGCCTTGGTCTTCGGCCACCCTGGGCTCGGCGGCCACGGCCAGCATGCACATGACCCCCAGCCCTGCGGCCACTGCGGCCCTGCCTCTCGGCTCCATGTCTGCTCCTGCAGGCAGCGGGGAAGTCGGGGAGTCCAGGGGCAGGGCCTCTGGAGGCCAGCGCCGCTTCTCCTTCCTTTCCCAGAGGGTAGGCTGACGCTGGGGTGCAGGTTGCTGGTCAGAGGGGAGATCACCCCACACGGGCCTGGCCACCACCCCCTTTTCTCCAGCTTCTCCCCTCCCTGCTCACCTGCAGTGCCCCTGGTGAATGGCTCTGTGGCAGGGTCTGCCTTCCCCGCCCCGCAGGAGGTGTGCGGAGTGATGTGGGCCTTGGGCGGTGGTACCCGGGCCAGCCATGGTGGCTTTTATGCATCTGAATGAGGAAACGGTGTGCAACCGGGCTTCCCCGTCCTGAGCATCACCCTTTCCAAACGTCAGCGCTGGCCGTGGGCTCTCGGGATCCCGGCCAGGGAGTGAGGACTTTACCCGCTGTGCTCCTGTGCCAGGGATGGCTCTGATCTGGCACTCAGTCCCAATTCGGTCTCTTTCCTCTCTCCTGTCTCACTGGTCTTTGTACCTCTAAATGTTTTATTATTTCTTTAATCCCATAGCCTTAATCAGCCCCTTTTGGGGGTTCAGTATTTCCCAGGTTGTGTTCTAAGTAACTGTTATGTACGTATCATCACCTTTAATCATCAACAACCTCACCAAAACACTATCCTACAGTTACTCCACTCCACTTTGGGGCAATGGAGGACCCATATCCTATAGTTCTTTCCAGAAGTACACAGCTGTCCAGCAGAAGTACTGTTTGAACCCACATCCTGTCCAGCTGCAAGGCTGGCTCTCTAGTGCCAAAATCACCCTGAAGCTTCTAGTTCATTTTCTCCTCATTTCTGTCTTCATTTCATTCACTCTCACCTCATCTGTGTATGCCTTCCTTTTTCTCTCTCTGTTCCTGACCACAGCTCTGCCCTCATGTATATCTGTTGGTACCTGCCTGGAACTTGGGGGGTGTTCAGCCCCTGAGCTACACCCCAGCCGTTTGAGATGGGGTCTTGCTAAGTTCTCCAGGTGGCACTGGAACTTGCAGTCCTCCTTCCACAGTGTCCCTGAGTGCTGGGATTATAGGCTTGAGTCACTGTGCTCAGCCCCTCTGCGCCTTTGTGTAACTCCATCCTTGTCTGTTCTTTCCTTTTTCCAACAAACATACCAGTCAGGGGTTCTCTGTCTCAATCTATCACTTTTAGTTTAAAAATAAAACATGCCGCTTCTTTTGTGATACAATTAGCAGTGCATGTTCACTGGATAAAGTTTGAAAAATACAGAAAACCACAAAGGAGAAAAAAAAAAACCCACCTGAAATGAAAATGAAATGAAAAACACTCCTTTCACTTTTGATCACATCTGTGGAACACTTTCCCAGTATATACGGATGGTCCATATATTTGTATATATATTTTCTTAATACCAAAGTAATGGTTACAAACATTGCATCAGTACAGAAACAGGCAAGGTGGAAAGTTTAAGTTTTGAATCCCGTTTCTGGAAGTAGATCTATTTCTAACCATGTGTAAGTACCTCTCCTCTTCTGTCCCTTTCTCTGAGCAAGTTCAACCAAACTGGAGCCGTGCTGTATACAGTTTGGTAGCCTGCTTTTTAATGCCTCATCATTATCTCTCATTTGCACTTCCCCACGTCTTTAATTATAGTGTATCAGTTAGGACCCAGCAGCAAACAGATGGGCCAATCAATTTAGGATAATTTGAGGTAGAATTGAAACTAGGAACATTTCCAAAAAGATTGAATTGGGAAGGGAAATGACAATAGTTAGTGTAAGGTCCTGGGGTCTGTTTCAGGGAGGGGTTGCATGCAATAGGTGTCAGAAGACAAACTTCTTGGGCCCAGAGGAGGGTAAAGAAGGAGGGAGAAGGGTGTGGAGAGCTATGAAGACACCCCACGCACCACTGCTACAACTTCGGGCGTAACAGGATCCCTTGGTAACTGAGCACCTATTTGTGGCCTTGAGGCTTCCCTCAGGGTTTTGTTAAAGTCTTTGTTCTCATGGGGAAGTGAGAAAGACCAGCACCCCCCTTTTTCTTAATAATGTCTCTCTCTCAAGACAGATTTTAATTTTTTTTTCTTGCATGGATCATGCTTCTAGTGTTACATCTAGAAAAACATCAGTGGACACACAGTTACCTAGACCTGTGTACACACCCCCCCACCCCCGATGTTGTCACCTAAGAATGTTCTTGTTTTGCATTTTACGTTTGGGTCTAAGATACATGCTGAATTCATTTTTGTGAAAGGTGTAAGATCTCTTCTTTAGCATGTGGCATCTAGGTGTCCAGAACCATTTCTTAGGGGAAAAAAACTCCACTATCCTTTTTCTGTTGTTTTGCCTTTTGCCCCTTTCTCAAAGCCTGATGGGCCATATTTGTGTGTGTCTTCCTGGGCTCTATATTCTGTTCTGTAGCTCTGTTTTTCTATCCTTTTACCAATACCACTCCATTTTGATTACTATAGTTTTACAATAGGTCTGGAAGTTGGGTGGAATCTGTCCTCTGGCTTTGCTTTTCTCCTTTATTATTGTGCTTACTTTGCTATGTCTTTTAAATCTCTGTAGAAATTTTCAGTTTACCAACATCCACAAAATAACATGCTGGAATTGTTTTTCCATGCTAGGAGTTGAACCCAAGGTCTCAAGCATGCTAGACAATCTGAGGTTTTGATTGGTGTTGTGGATTAATCTACAGTCAACTTGTAACACCCAGCTCAAGTGGATCAGTGTGGTACTGGATGTGGAAGGTCCTCCTGAAGATTCTTGCCAACAACGTAAAAAGAAAACTGGAGGGGAAGATGGCGAGCTGTTGATCCTCCCAGAGAAGCTTGCCACAATGGCTTTCCTGGTATGAATTCCCATCGTCAGAGGAGCTCAGGTGCTCCCTGTCACTGAGGATGACTGCAGTTCTTTTCAGGGGAGCTCTGGTCCTTGCTTTGAGCATCGCTTCCTGGCTCCAGTTCAGATCTCTCAGGCTGCTGGCACAGATCCTTCATCCTGCTGGCACAGACTTGCTAGCTTTCACCGCTGACTTTTGGATCTTCCCAGTGCAGATCCTTGATACAGATACAGACAGACTTGCATGAGTCACTCTTGTGGATTCTAGGCCTCCAGTTGGACTTGTGGAGAACATTGCCATGGGCTGTAGGTCTTCAGCTGGATTCTTTGGGTCTCTAGTGTATGAAAAGATCTCCACACTCTTTTTGCATTTGACTCTTTGGGGGCATATTATAAAATAATCCTATAAATTATGTGTCCTGTATTAAATACTTTTCCTTGCAAACCCTGACTACAATTGGATTGCACTGAATCTATCAAATAAACTGGGAAGAATGAACATCTTAACAATACTGGGTCTTCCTATCCTGAACATGGAATATTTCTCAATTTTTAGATTTTTTATTTCTTTCATCAGGGCTTTGTAGTTTTCCCAGTATAGCACTTGTCCATGTTTTATTAGACTTATACCTAAGTGTTTTATTTTGAGGAGTGGTCTTTCTTCCTTTCTTTCTTTCTTTCTTTCTTTCTTTCTTTCTTTCTTTCTTTTTCTTTTCTTTTCTTTTGTTCTCTTTCCTTTCCTTTCCTTTCCTTTCCTTTCTGTGCTGGGGATTAAGCCTAGGATCTTGACATGATAAATAATGCTCTACCACTGAGCTATACCTCCAGCCCCACACATGGTGTTTTTAATTGCAAATTCCAAATGTGTATTGCTATTGTACAAGAGAGCAACTTGCATTTACATATTAACCTTGAATCTTGAAATCTTGCTATGAGCACTTACTGGTTGAGAGTCTTTTTTTTTTTTTTTTTTTTTTTTTTTGATGCTTGGGTTGGAAACCAGGGCCTTGGGTAAACCAGGCAAGAGTCCTACCACCGAGTTAAGAGTCCAAGCCTCAGAATCATATATTTAAATGTGTTCTATTAAACACACAGGAATATGAACAAATTAATTATAGTGAAACATAATTACCAAACATAAAAACAACTTTGTGATAAAATACTATATCTTTATTTTTCTAATGGAGAAGCTATTTCATCTCATTTTAAAAATTTGTGTTCTTATTAGTACATCTCTGCAGTACATAATGATTACATTCATCATGGGAAACTGGTACATGTTCATAACACATCTTGATTCATTTTATATCTGCTTTCCCTTCCCCGCTCCATCTCTTGGTCCCCTTTTCTTATTTTAAAAATTTAAAAACTGATAAAACAACAATGAAGACAAAATCAAAACAACACAAAAACAGCGAAAATGATACATGACCTCAAGACAAAATGATGGAAATTTACAGTGGTTGCTAAATTACATACTGTTATCTTCAGTGAAGTTCCTCAGTCCACTAGACATAAGAATGCAAGCTTGATCAAACAATCAAAGACAGTAACAAGTAAAAAACAATAAAAATAATCTTTAAAAAACATTGGAAATGATGCAGAGCTTCACCATACAAAATGGAAGGAGTTCAACAATGGTTCTTTGTTTTGGTTTGTTTTTTTCAGTACCGGGAATCGAACTCACGACTTTGTACTTGCCAGGCAGGCACTGTGCCGCTGAGCTAAATCCCCAGCCCCTTCAACAATGGTTCTTATACTGCATATTGTTTTCAGCTGGTCCTCTTTTTATTTGCAGATCTACCTCCCTGAGAAACCCCAAGTATTAAAGTATTAAGTAGCAAAATATAGCAATATTTCTAATAACTACTATTTTTTTGAGGTGGTAATGAGTGTAAATGATATTTCAAGATAAGAGCTATTTCTGTAAATATGAAAATATGTGTGAATTCTTTCAATGACAAAGTCACAGGTTCTAATACTGTTACAGTTTGTTGCCGTGTGTGTGTGTGTGTGTGTGTGTGTGTGTGTGTGTGTGTGTGTGTGTAGTGCTGGGGATGGAATGAATCCAGGGACTCACACACATGAGGTAAGCACTCTGCCACCGAGCCACATCCCCAGGTCCTGTTGCCTACATCCATAATAGGAAGAAATGCCAAACTTCAGGTAAAGGTTAGTGAAGATAATGATGCATCTTTCTTCCCATGGAAAGTCTCCTGCCCCTGCATCCTAGCAGGGAAAGGTATCATGAACCCCAGGTCCAGCTAGACCTGCATCAGTTAGATAGAATGAGGTGAATCTATGTGTACTGACATGAAAAACTCTTTGAGACATATATAGTGAAAAAACCAAATGACTGCACAGTACAGATGGCGTGACACTACTTCTGTTTAATAGTACTCACATATATAAAGCAATTCAGTAGAGGAAATTGCCTTTTCAATGAATGGTATTGGAGCAACTTGCCCCCTAGGGTCAAGAAATGAATGTTGCATTGAACCTTATACTTAAAATAAAATTATCTCAAAATGGATAAGGGATTTAAAAGTAAATTATATAGTCATAAACATTTCAGAAAAAATCATGACAAAATTTTTGGGATCTGCATTAAGCAAAGGGTTGGGCTTTACATCAAGGGCTGAATCCATAAGAGAAAAAATGTGATCAAAGTGGTCTTGATCAAAAATGCTTGCTCTGCGCCGGGCATGGTGGCACACATCTGTAATACCAGTACTCGGGAGGCTGAGGCAGGAGGATCATTGCAAGTTTGAGGACAGCCTAGGTTACGTAAATGAGTTCAAGACCAGCCTGAAATGCATAGTGAGACCCTGTCGCAAAAAGACAAAAAAATGTTTGCTCTGTGAAAGAGTATGGTAAGGTGAGCTCCAGACTGGGGAAAATGACCAGCAGATGATCTGCCTGTCAAGGGGCTAGTATCTAGCATAGGTAAAGCACTCTCAAAAGTCCACAGGAAAAATATGAACAATTCAATTGGAAAACAGAAGACATGAACAGACATTTCACTGAAAAATATCCATAAATGGCAAATAACCACATAAAATGTGTTGAATACTATTAACCATGAGAGAAAGGCACATTAAAACCACAAGGGGACATCACTACATATCTATCAAAATAGCTAAAATAAAAACCTGTGATAACACCCGAGGTTGATGAGGAAACAGGGAAACTAGATCACTTATACATTGCTAGTGGGAATGTGAAAGGTACGGCCACTCCAGAAGCCAGTGTGGCACTTTCTGCAGGGACTGACTTTGCAATTACTGTATGACCTAGTAATTATGTTACTGAACATTGATCCCACTAAAATGAAGAATCATGTTCACACAAAACCGTGTACATAAATGCTTATTCCTTTGTCATAGCCCCAAGCTGGAAATAACCCACGCTCTTCAACAGGTGAGTGGTTAAACAAGCTGGTCCATCCATACTGCAGAATGCCACTCATTAACAAAAACTAATAAATTCAGATACACATCTGTCTGGTAAAGCTCTAGAGAATTATGATCAGCTCCTCCCCGCCACTGCTTATAACAAAATGTTACGAACTGGATGTTTCCATTTATGTAATATTCTTTAAATGACAAAATTACAGAAATGAAGGGCAGATTAGCAGTTGCCAGTGGTTACAGAAAGAGTGGGCTAGAAGGACTGTGGATGTGACTATTAAAAAGCAATGCAACCTCCGGGTGCAGTGGTGCACACCTGTAATCCTAGCACTCGGGAAGCCGAGGCAGGAGTGTTGCTTCAAGTTCAAGCCCAGCCTGGTTAAAAAAAGAGTGGCCTGGGGGCTGGGGATTTAGCTCAGCGGCAAAAAGCGCCTGCCTGGCAAGAGCAAGGTCGTGAGTTCGGTTCCCAGTACCGGAGAAAAACCAAAAAAAAAAAAAACAAAAAAAACCAAAACAAAACAAAAAAAAAGAGTGGCCTGCCTGTATCGACATTGGCCAATATCCTAAATAATTTGGGACCCTTGTTTTTGTACTGGTATTAAACCTAGGACCTTCACATTGAGTTACATCCCTACCCATTTTTTATTTTGAAGCAGGGTCTCAATTGTCATTTCTTTTGTTTTTTGTGTTTTTTCCAGTGCCTGGAATCAAACTCATGACCTTGCACTTGCCAGGTGGGCACTATGCCACTGAGCTAAATCCCCAGCCCCTTCAACTGTCATTAAGTTGTCTGGGTCAAGCTTGAACTTGCAACCCTCCTGCCTCAGCTTCTCATAGTGCTGGGATTATAGCCATGCCCCATCATATTCAGTTGAGTTTTGTAAAAAAAAGTACCACTGGGAGAAACTGGGTAAAGATATACAGCATCTCTTTGTATTATTTCTTACAATTGCATTTGAATCTACAATTATGTCAAAAATAAAAAGTTTAATTAAAACAATCACCCAAATAGATATTCTTAGCGCTTTATAATGTGTGTGTGTGTATGAAAAGGCAGGCAAGGATATGTCTCACATTAATCATGGGTTATCTCTGGGGAGAGCATAAAAATTGAGGCAATGATCACAGGAATATTCAGATTTATCAATATTTTAAGTTCTTACAAGGAGAATGAATTCTACTTGAGAGACTGGAAGCTAAAACATCATACTCGTGGGATATGAAGACAATGCCAGCTCATTGCTGCTTCAGTGGCTGCAGGATGGAGAATTTCTGAGAGCTTTCTAAGAGGTAGAGGAGGTCCATCTGATCCCTGGGCTCGCTAAGAATGGCTGAGCAAGGCACTGCCTCGCCCCGCACCCCTTTGCCGCTGTGCCCTCCAAAGGTACTGGCAGGAGATTGAGGTTGGGTGGAAGGGCAGGGCCGGGGTACTCATTCTCTTATTTGCCTGGTTCCCTTCCAGCAAGGCTGCGGCTGGGGAGCGGGGCTGTTCCTCGATGTACAGCGACTCTCTCTGCCTGTCGTACCTGGGAGCAGTAACTGCTTCCTGTTGTTAGTCCCTGTGTGTGACACCAGCCCTTGCTGGTTCCCTTCACCCTCAACACTTTTCCCATGGTTAAACTTTTGAGTAGGCCATTTGCTTCTTGTAGATTTGATTTTTCCCCAGAGTTTTTTTAGTTGAAATCTTTATTGAGAAAATTGAAGATCTGGATGCTGTTATGAAAAATAATACATAGCGATCCTGTGCACCCTTCACCCGGTATGGTGGCTTGGATTTGAAATGTTCCCTAAGGTCGTGTGCTGGGGGCTTGGTCACCAGGTAATGGGATTTTTGGGTAGGGATGGATCGATCCATTGATGAGATCGTATTTTGATTATTGGGAGGTGATGAGAATTGGAGGTGGGGCTAGTTGAAGGCGTGGGTCAGAGGGATGTGACCTCTGGGACTATATCTGGCCCTGGGCCCCTTCTCTGTCTCTTTCCCCAGCCCTGCCATGAGGGGAGCCATTTTCTTCCACTAGCTTTCTGTGCTGATCCTCTGCCACACCATGGGGACCAGAAGCCACGTGACCAGGAACTGAAACTTCCGAATACGTGAGCCAAAGTAGATCTTTCCCCCTCTGAATTGTTTTTCTTAGCTATTTGGTCACAGTGATTGATTGCTTGATTGATTTTTGTCTTTTTGAGACAGGGTCTCACTATGCAGTTCAGGCTGTCCTTCAGCTCACTTTGTAGCCCAGGCTGGTCTGGGACTCACAACAATCCTCCTGCCTCAGCCTCCCGAGTGCTAAGATTACAGGCGTGCACCACCATGTCTGGTTGGTCACAGTGATTTAAAAAAGACAGCACTAATACACTGAGTTTATGCCAAAGGTAATGTCTTACAAACTACGGTAGTACAGTATCACATGTAGGATATTGCCACTGACACATTTTGTCATCTTACTCCAAAATCTCATCTTACCTCTATTTAGTGCATCTGTGTGTGTGTGCATGTGCGCAGGTATGTGTGTTGTTTTATACAGTCTTATCACATGTTTAGGTCCATGTATGCACTGCCACAATCAACACAGAACAATTTCATTCCTGCAAGGACCCCTGGGATTGCCTTTTGACAAACACACTGTCTTCCTCCCTCTACCACCTACCTTGTCCCCTTGCGACAACTATTCTATTCTCCACTTCTGAGATTTCATCATTTCAAAATATTACCCAATTAGGGTCATGCAGTATGTAGTCTTTTGAGATGGGCTTTTCTCGCTCGGCACAGTTACCTGGATATTCACGCAGGTGGCTGCGTGTATTAATAGTTCATTTCTATTTCACAGCATTTATGCATTAGAATTTGTTTAACTATTCACCATTTGAAGGATATCTGGGCTTTCTAGTTTCAGCAATTACAAGTAAAGCTATTATGAATATCTGAATAGCAAATAACTATGCTACTGCATGAATGTAAGTTTTCATTTCTCTGGAATAAATGTCCAGGTATACAGTTGCTGAGCTGACTAGGAGTTCCATAATTTTGTTGCTGTTTTGGTTTTACTTTTTTTTTTTTGAGACAGGTCACACATTCTAGTTCAGCCTAGCCTTGAACTCGCTATGTAGTCCAGGGTGGCCTTGAACTCTAGGTCCTCCTGGCCCAGCCTCCTAAATGCTGGGATCACAGGCGTGCCCTACCATACCTGGCCCATAGTTTGTTTTATAACCAACTGCCAAACTATTATTAGGCAGCTGTACCATTTTCCCATTCTTACCAGCAACATTTGAATGACCTAGTTTCTAGATCATTTTTCAGTCATACTCACAAATATGTTTTCCAGAGGTTTTTTTTTATTGCTGTAGTTGTAATTGTAATTGTTGCTTAAGCTCCAGAGTCGGGGTCTCAAACAGTGGGTAAAAGAATCCTTTCCTTTGGGGTGGTATTAAATTTAATTTTTAAACCTCTATAACTTGAATTTAATAATGTACATTGTGGTGCCCAGAGTTGGACCACTGTCAATAGCTCGCATCCAGTACTTACAGCCCTCCACCCTTCCAGCCATTACTAATTTTACTTCTAATGCTTTAGTCTTTGAAGACATATGATTTTATTTCAGCCCTATGCTGTACATCACTTGGGACATTTTTGGTGGGAAATAAACAAAAAATCCAATTCATGCAGGCTTGAACAATGGAGAATTTATGGACTTAGAAAACTGAGAAGTCCAGAATTAGAAGAGAGGTTTTAGGGGCTGGGGAGATAGCTCAGAGGTACAGTGCCTGACTGGCAAATGTAAGGTCCTGAGTTCAACTCCTGGTACCAAAAGAAAAAAAAAATCCAAGAAGAGAGGTTTCAGGTAAGCTTTGACTCAGGGGCTTAAACACCGCAAACCTTCCAGTTTGTCTAATCAATAAACAAATCAGCAAACAAACAAAAACCTTGCAGGCCTCCCTGCAGCTGGTAGAAGGCTGTTTATATTTGTAATTCCAAGGTGGGTGGTAGCAACTCCTCAGGCTTTAGACGTCCTTTTTTTCCAAGAGGAAGAACATGACATCTTTTCCCTAAGATATGCAGGACTGAGAGTCATTCCGACTAGACTGGCCTAAGCCACATGACCACCAAAAATCCAGTCACTGTGGCCAGGGAGACAAACTGAGGTAAATGGCTGCAGCTAGGTTGGATACCCAATTTCCACTATGGGGGATCAAGTCACCTTCCCAAAGTTATTTCAGTTTCCAAATGAAATATATGATGCTAGAAAGGGTGGATGATGTAACAAAAACTTGGAAGATATGCTTTGCTGCTGCTTTCCGGGACAGCTAATGTTGGAGGGGAATTGCTGCCCTGGAATTTCAGAGTTTTCACACTTCAGCTATTTTAATGTTTCTATACCTCTATACTTTTGAACAAGGAAAATGTGCACTGAAAATTCATAAAATAATCTTGTCACGTTAATGTAAGGAAAGACACAACCATAAAATGTCATTACTTATGCATGATATCAATGTTTGTGAATGAATTTAATTGTGGTTAAAAGCAGTCCCATTTAGAGAAGTTGGCAAATTGGCTCAAAACATATGTATGTCAGCTATTCTACAAGGGACAGATCAGATAAGAGATAGAAGAGTTCTGCTAATAATAACCCAGGTAGGCTAGGATCAAATCTCCACTTCGCATGTACCAGATGTGTGAGTTTGGGTAGGATGTGTATCCTTCCTGAGCCTCAGTGTCCTCATCTATGAAATGCCAGCCAATAAGATGATTTACCTCACACTGTTGCTGAGGAGAAAACCACCGGGCACGTGAAGGGCACCTGCACAGGGGTTTTGCAGTGGGAAGTGCATAGGGCAATTAGCTATCAATGAAAACAAAGTCCATAATTCTAATTTTTAACATAGCAATACTTTTATAGTTGGGAAAGAAATAAATACTGGGCTAGGGTGTGGTTCAGTGGTAGAGCACTTGCCTGAGCACACTGGAGGTCCTTGGTTACATCTCTGGCAAAATGAAGAAAATAAATAGGAAATCCAACAAGAGCTTGCCTGAGACATGGATAATGAAAAAGCAGAGAGAGGGACTGGGGATTTAGCTCAGTGGCACAGTGCCTGCCTGGCAAGCGCAAGGTCGTGAGTTCGATTCCTGGTACCAGAAGAAAAACAAACACACACACACACACACACACACACACACACACACACACACACAAAATAAATGAAAAAGCAGAGAGAACAGGAAGGGGGATATCAAGATAGAAAAAAACAAATGCAAGGACAGATGGACAGAATGTAATTGCAAGGCAAAGGATGCTGAAGGAGTTCTCTAAAAGCAAGCTAAGTGACATCCCCATGTACCAGTAGAGGTGGAAATCCCTATAATGCTGGTGGTCTCTAGGAGAAGGAAAGGGAGGTGTGCAGTTCACCCTGAGTGTGCAGAGCAACTGGAACCAGTCACAGAAGATAAACAGATGTGCACAGACAGCAGACCGGATAATTTGCTCCAGAGGGAGTGCTGGGCCCGAGCCATCCCTGGCACCGGAGCACCGCGGGTAAAGTCCTCACTCCCTGGCCGGGATCCCGAGAGCCCACGGCCAGCGCTGACGTTTGGAAAGGGTGATGCTCAGGACGGGGAAGCCCGGTTGCACACCGTTTCCTCATTCAGGTGCATAAAAGCCACCATGGCTGGCCCGGGTACCACCGCCCAAGGCCCACATCACTCCGCACACCTCCTGCGGGGCGGGGAAGGCAGACCCTGCCACAGAGCCATTCACCAGGGGCACTGCAGGTGAGCAGGGAGGGGAGAAGCTGGAGAAAAGGGGGTGGTGGCCAGGCCCGTGTGGGGTGATCTCCCCTCTGACCAGCGCCCTGCACCCCAGCGTCAGCCTACCCTCTGGGAGAGGAAGGAGAAGCGGCGCTGGCCTCCAGAGGCCCTGCCCCTGGACTCCCCGACTTCCCCGCTGCCTGCAGGAGCAGACATGGAGCCGAGAGGCAGGGCCGCAGTGGCCGCAGGGCTGGGGGTCATGTGCATGCTGGCCGTGGCCGCCGAGCCCAGGGTGGCCGAAGACCAAGGCCCGGTGGCGCCCAGGCGCTGCCTGCTGTCACACTACCGCTCCCTGGACCCCAGAGCAGTGGCAGCAGTCAAGGCGCTGAGGGACAGCTATGTGAGTGAGGCCTGGCCCCGTGGCACTCCCAGCCCAGCCCTGACCCGCCAGCTCTGGAGACAGCAGTGCTTGTCCCGAGGAACACTTGTGTCCTCCCCGCAGCAGGCTCACCGCCTACCTCAGGTCCCCAGTTGGGAGCCAGACACTACCCTGTGTCCCCTCACAAGCGCTAAGCGGGGCTCTGCGCCAGGGAGGAGCGGGGCCAGGCAGCCGACCTGGCTCCATGCAGGGCGCAGGCTCGGCGCGAGGAACACGGGGCGCGTTTCAGCGCCGGCTCGCGCCTTCCCGGGGGCGTCGGGCTCCGCAGAGGACGCCGGGACGGTCCGGGCCCTGCAGCCCGTCCAGGGCGGCAGGAGGCCGGGCAGGGGCGGTG